CTCGCGCCATCTACCGGCCGACCATGATTTCAAACGAACCCCATAGAGTTATGTCCCTTGAAACGCTCTTTACGAATATCCTATAACCCAAGTTGTGATTGAGGCCAGTTTGGCAAAGATCGACAGCACCGCGTGCGACAGTTTTCGATGTACGAAGCAATCGTTTACATTCCATATATGGCAAGTGTAAGTCGTAAGGGATAATAAGTCTTTTATTGCATCAACAGGAAGCTAAATTGAGTACATATGCCCCCAATATATAAAATGTAGGCCAAAATTGTCGAAAATGTGTGACATTGTGCCTTTAATAGGCCAATATTGCACATATATTGTTTTACATATACTTGGAGTCCTATTGTTGTACAGATACGTAATGGTTTAAACTGCATTATTAATATATATGTGCAATGTACAGCTCTCAGTACTATTTTAGTCTTATCAGTGTTTTCTCAGGTCTTGCTAATCATACATTCAGTTCCGTAAAATAATATTTTGGACCTACCGATCTTTCAAAAATGCTATGATGTAGATACGATATTTGTGTGCACATGACCAACATGTTATATGTTATTTGATAGGAATTACTAAGTTGGCGGATCAAATGGTAGGCACATGTTATGGATAACAGAATTAACACCATCTTTAATATACTCTTATAGTATATAAGATTATTTGTTATATATTCTTACACGGTTGTCAAGCAGGACTGGTGGTTTAGGGATCTATAAAGACCAATTTACAAAAGGAAGTGTTATCAATAAACTGTGCCTACTTTATCAACGCATTTGGTAACGATTAACACCCGAGTGTTACTCAATGACGATGGTCGTTTTTTCACATGTTGCGCGGGCATCAATAGATGAAGTAGTAATATTGATTCCTTTGTCTTGTTGAGATATTGATACAAGCTACTCCCTTGTTAACAGATTGGCGTTCTCTATACAGTATATCAATGAAGGTCATTCTAATTGGCATTCTGTATACTGTTTAACTATTTGACCACATGCTGTGTGTTGGCGTAATCGATATTCGTATGAACTATTGATGTATTGTAAAGATCAAAGCGTTGTTTTAGGAAAATGTACAAATGGTTATTGTCAGTTGATGATTGTGAATGATATTAAACTATACTCATGCCAATAATGGTTGTCACCCCTTCAATTTTTTTAATTGGACAGGGGTGGGGGTGTGAGGGTCAGTGTGTGTGTGTGACAACAACCATTATTGGCATGAGTATATATTCCTGAACATCGATAATTTAGTATCATGCGGCTCCTTTGTCCAGACAAAGTTTGGGTCAGTTAACAGTTTTTGTGTGGTTGTTCGAGTTCGAGTTAATACACACAGCCTGTTGTGTATTTTAAGCATAATTTATTGTGGATGTTTGCCTGGTTAAGCATAGACAATGCCTCAATATTACATTGGTCATGGTTAATGAGAAACTAGTTCTTTGGGGGTCTATTCAGTACTGGTAAGGTATTAGAAATCCTTTAGTGTTTGATCGGCATTTTAACTGTTTGAACGACATTCTAATTGCTTGATTGGCATTCTAGAAGTTGGTGAGTCAATAGTGAAACATGCAGCGTCATGCACAACAAGTCTATGCAGTAGACAGGATCGTCACGATATGGCTGAAATATTGCCGATGTGACGTTAAATATTAACTCACTCACTAGACAGGAATTCACAACGTTGTATGCTTCTTTACAGAAATCCCTCGTCTTGCACCCTGTGAATATTTCATGTGAACAAAGAGGGACAGGCAAGACAAATATTTTCGATTATATTATTCATAACAAATGACAAAGATATTTGACAGACATCAACAATCCGAACAATCATGACATTTCATATACATGTTCTTCATTCAAATAGCCAATAAGATGAGACTATAGGTGTAGCCGATATGTCATATAACAAACCGCAAGCAAATATAACAGACATCAACAATCAGAACAATCATGACATATTCAAATAGCCAATGAGATGAGACTATAGGTGTAGCCGATATGACATATAACAAACCGCAAGCAAATATAACAGACATCAACAATCAGAACAATCATGACATATCATATACATGTACTTCATTCAAATAGCCAATGAGATGAGACTATAGGTGTAGCCGATATGTCATATAACATACCGCAAGCAAATATAACAGACATCAACAATCCGAACAATCATGACATATCATATACATGTACTTCATTCAAATAGCCAATAAGATGAGACTATAGGTGTAGCCGATATGACATATAACATACCGCAAGCAAATATAACAGACATCAACAATCCGAACAATCATGACATTTCATATACATGTACTTCATTCAAATAGCCAATGAGATGAGACTATAGGTGTAGCCGATATGTCATATAACAAACCAAATAGCAATGAGATGAGCAAATATAACATATAACAAACCGCAAGCATCAACAATCCGAACAATCATGACATTTCATATACATGTACTTCATTCAAATAGCCAATGACAGACATCAACAATCCGAACAATCATGACATATCATATACATGTACTTCATTCAAATAGCCAATGAGATGAGACTATAGGTGTAGCCGATATGTCATATAACAATTACCGCAAGCAAATATAACAGACATCAACAATCATGACGCATCATATACATGACTTCATTCAATAGCAATGAGATGAGACTATAGGTGTAGCCGATATGACATTATAACATACCGCAAGCAAATAAAACAGACATCAACAATCCGAACAATCATGACATATCATATACATGTACTTCATTCAAATAGCCAATGAGATGAGACTATAGGTGTAGCCGATATGACATATAACAAACCGCAAGCAAATAAAACAGACATCAACAATCCGAACAATCATGACATATCATATACATGTACTTCATTCAAATAGCCAATGAGATGAGACTATAGGTGTAGCCGATATGACATATAACAAACCGCAAGCAAATATAACAGACATCAACAATCCGAACAATCATGACATATCATATACATGTACTTCATTCAAATAGCCAATGAGATGAGACTATAGGTGTAGCCGATATGACATATAACATACCGCAAGCAAATAAAACAGACATCAACAATCAGAACAATCATGACATATCATATACATGTACTTCATTCAAATAGCCAATAAGATGAGACTATAGGTGTAGCCGATATGACATATAACAAACAATCATGACATATCATATACATGTACTTCATTCAAATAGCCAATAAGATGAGACTATAGGTGTAGCCGATATGACATATAACATACCGCAAGCAAATATAACAGACATCAACAATCAGAACAATCATCACACATCAAGTGCAGTAGCTTCATTTCAATACACCCGTGAAGGTCCGGGTCAGCAACCCATGCTTGTCGTAAGAGGCGACTAACGGGATCGGGTGGTCAGGCTATCTGACTTGGTTGACACATGTCATCGGTTCCCAATTGCGCAGATCGATGGTCATGCTGTTGATCACTGGATTGTCTGGTCCAGACTTGATTATTTACAGACCACCGCCATATAGCTGGAATATTGCTGAGTGCGGCGTAAAACTAAACTCACTCACTCACTCATTTCAATACCTGACAAGTGTAGCGGATCTAATATATACCCAACATACATGTATATACAGATATTAACCATCAGAACAATCAAGACAGACCATATACTTCATTTCAATAGCCAATTAGGTGTGACATATTATAGGCAGGGTGGACCAAAGGCAACTTAAGACAGCTAGGTAGGGAGCCGCGATGTGTTTTAAACCACAAGAATTGGTGCATGTTATTGTCACAAACGTCTCCAAGAAATTATTCATTGATATTACATACAGTCAAAACACTTTGTAATTGTCAGTGATTTTGTTTTCTCTTGCCAAATGCGATTGTATTTTTTTTAACATTTCAAAAAGATACATGACATATTTATGTTATGAAGCCAGACAGGTGGTGATACTGTGTGATGACACGGGATGGGGTAATTTAATCGTGTTTTGTTTCATGCCTACTGGCTACTAGAGTAATTATATTGTCGGTATTTACAACAATAAAATACGATGGGAAACCCACACAATATCTTTCAACACAAACATGCAGTGACGTACTCGAGTGTAAACTATCTGCCACTTTAATGGCCGGAGCTTCCAGTGTCAACCTCCTTCGCTATGGCCTCCATGTCAAGTTACCGCAAGGCGGACACGCAAGGTCTTTGTAAATAGAATATCCAATGCACTTGATCACCTTTCTCTCAGTTGTATAATAACCATATTTATGATCGTACAGAGTTATCTAAAACTTCCTGGAATGATCTAAAAAGGGCAGAATATTGATCTTTACAGTTAGACATATTGAATAGACTTGTGCGGAACTAAGTATCTCATAAGTCAATCGACAAAGTACACATGTCCTGTTTGGTGTTTATATAGTGTATGTGTTTCAATATTGTGTGATCTCTTAGTATTCCATGGGGTTTATTTCTCATTTACACTCCCCTGTACATGACAATATAGCAATCAGAGTGACTTCATCCTCTTTGAATATCCTCCGACAAATATGCACAAACGTGTTGGCCCCATTGTCAAATTACATTTTAGACAGAAATTATTAAGCCGTCTTTGTGAAAATATCTCACAATATAGTGAGCGAGTGAGTGAGTTTAGTTTTACGCTGCACTCAGCAATATTCCAGCTATATGGCGGCGGTCTGTAAATAATCGAGTCTGGACCACACAATCCAGTGATCAACAGCATGAGCATCGATCTACGCAATTGGGATACGCGTACGATGACATGTGTCAACCAAGTCAGCGAGCCTGACCACCCGATCCCGTTAGTTGCCTCTTACGACAAGCATGGGTTACTGAAGATCAATTCTAACCCGGATCTTCACGGGTCGTTGCACTAAGCGTTTACTGATCAACACTGTAGTTGTAAGACTTACTGGTGATGTATTTGAGGAAAACTTTAATGTGTGATTTATTAGGGGCTACAAGAAGATCATACCGTGTCTGGCTAAAGGGATCCCGAAACAGGCTCGAACCAACCCTCTTGACTTCTTCCTATCATTGGGCTTCAACCCTTCGAACTTGATGAAAAGGAGCAAGGACATATGCAAGGAAATTCCAGGTGAGTTCGTGCGAAAATGTAAATACAAATGTAATCTACTCTCAATCAGAACACGATATTGGATGCATTTCTAAATATGAAAAAGATCAATTTGAACAACCTTCACCAGATATATATATTTGTTATTTAAGACATGTTTGCATTATATTTTGTTTGCCTCCAAACGTATTTACACAGGAAATATGATTATCCCATCTCCTAGGTTATCATTAATATCTTTGCCAATGATCAGTATTAGCTGGTCGCATCCTCTGCGCCGTCAACAGCAGCCAGACCGACGCCGGACGCTGCACGCGACGATTCGGCATTTCACTAGGTCACATGTACTCAGCCTACGGGAATGGTGTATCTCGAGGGGCGCTGAAACCCCTAGGTTGCGAGTAAGTGGCATTATATATGAGGGAGTGGTTATAGGCTTAGACAGCTTTGAGTGAACTGTTTGAGAGGCATTCTGGAAGTTGTATCAACTTCTTTGTTGACCTTGATCATCCATAAACACTTGTCATTCCTATTGCTTTGAGTGAGTAAGTGAGTGGGTGGATGGGTGAGTGAGTGGGTAAGTGAGTGGGTGGGTACGTAGGTGGGTGGGTTAGTGAGTGTGTTGGTGGGTTAGTGAGTGGGTAAGTGAGTGGGTGAGTGAGTGAGTGAGTAAGTGGGTGGGTAAGTGAGTGAGTGGGTAAGTGGGCGAGTGAGTGAGTGAGTGAATGAGTAAACGAGTGAGTATTTTGCACGCTGCTGTATTATCAATTCAACCACAAGGCTAGCCAGACGGCTTTGTTGGTCGGTTGGTTTGGTTGGTTGTTTAACGCCGCACTCAGCAATATTCCAGCTATATGGCGGCAGTCTGTAAATAATCGAGTCCTCATCAGACGATCCAGTGATCAACAGCATGAGCAGCGATCTACGCAATTGGGATACGATGACATGTGTCAACCAAGTCATCGAGCTTGACCACCCGATTCCGTTAGTTGCCTCTTACAAGCATGGGTAACTGAAGATCAATTCTAACCCAGATCTTCAAGGGTCAGACCGGTTTGAACAGTATTATAGTGACATCATAGCGTCACAACCTAATGCGAGACGAATGCCCGACGTGATGTATGTCCTAGACGTTGATAACTTTATGAATTCAACGAGCACATGGTCACATGTCTTCCACATGCACTAGGCTGTTGTGTTTGGGCGTTTGAATAAAAACATGGTGCTAGTGTGTTTCAGCACCCTTGTTTTTCGCTGTTTTTAACAATGTTTCATTGAAATGATTTCACTCAAACTCAACGAATATTGAATCAGTTGCTTCACTGCATGTTCCAACATGTCGTTTAAAGGGCCTATTAAGCACACAAAAAGTTGCATTTACCTTAGAGTATAAATGAGCTCACCACGTTTCTGTTTATATATGACTATCAAATTTTAGAGTGTTCCCATATTTTTTGTTTGTAGTATATATGTATATGATTATAAACGTTGACGTAACATATTTAACATCTTATTTCTGTATACCGAATTTTAAGAATGGTATGTATATAATTATAATCAACTACACGTTTTAGTTTCAATCGCCATCGTCCTCATCATACAAATATTTCATATACCACATGTATTTCATTCCTTACAATAAAACGTTATATTCGCTTTTTCAAAGATACGCCTTTCAGATACGAGTACAAAAATATTTAAAATAATAAATAACTACAATTGTATTGACAGATAGTATAACGTAAAACGCCACTTTCAGCGTTTTATTTTATGGAGAAACCCCTGTTAGTATTGTCTTGTTACATGTTAAGTCCTGAACGCAGTGAATCCCTAACGTTTACCCAACGTTTTCAACGTTTTCAGCTTGACTCGCGAGACAACACGATGTTTGGAGAAGACTTTGCATTCTTGTGAACCGGATGTGAAGCAGGTGCTGCTGAGTTACTACGCGCTCTTCACTGCCCGAAAGTGCATTGTGAAAACAGTTGCCAAGCCTCCGTAAGGATTATACATGTTCCCCAAATGTAGTAAAGTTCCTTTTCATGTTTACATAATGAGACCAGACTAAACCACTTTTGCTCAGTTATTGAACACAGAAGAAAATTGATCAAAATGAGTTTATTACCATGTCACATATTTTCCAGATATACATATACACTTCATCGACCAGTTGAAGGAAATATCGGCCTTTCAGGCCTACGAGACACAATTATACATTAAAATTGCATTAAAATATATAAAGTGTAAAACTCACAAAATACTATAGCAATATTACCAAGATTATGATACATAAAATACAAAACAATTGTACAGAACAATTGCACCTTGTGGATGAGTAAAGCGCTTTATAGATATAATTATTGTTATTACCTTGATTGAGTGAGATTTCGTACGGTGTTAAGACGACGTTCATGCATATTGAAAACCGCTGCGGCTAAGGCGTTACAGATGATATTATAACAGAACACATTAAATACTTCCAACTCTACGTAAACAAAACGTGCTTATTGACTTTACTTTGTTTGGTATTTTGTCTGTCAGGGATGGGTGGTTGGTGGGTGGGATGAGGTGTGGGGGTAGGACTAGGTGGTGGGTGGGGTGGAGGGAGTTCCCATAGCGTAAGAGGCATTGTGGTATGCAGGCAAATTGATCTTGTTGTGTACTATGACGTAAGTAACAGTAGTGTCAATCAATCATTTTACGATCAATTGAAATATATTGACTGTGTGTGTTTATTGAATCGATTTAAATATCCTTGTCTATTGATTTTCCAGAGTCCCGGTGGACACTGATCCAATCACAATAAGGTGTGCAAAGGAATCTTCCAAACTGGCCAAACTGGACGGTGCCACACCCAAGACTCTCCGCGAGGGTGTAATAAGAGGGATGCGAGTGGACTGTCAGTAAGGAATTGCCTTACCATTCTTTCACAAATAATTCATAATTAATACTAACTAGGAGGTACGTAGGAGTATTAACCCTGAAAATACAAAACTTATTGGGTATTGAATAAATGTTTTTAATATCTTTAGATCCAGATATGTCATGGTAAACATCCAGAGGTACATGTATTTGCCCAATTTGACACTTGTCAACATCGTCTCTGCTTCTCCATAGACAAGCTTACCCTTTGTACTAACACCCATTCTCATTGGATTTCCAGTGATCGCCATATTCGCCATCTTCGATCTACTGAATCTGTTTGGGCCTTTTCGGATTTCAGATAATCTACCCGTGAAGATCCGGGTTAGAATTGGTCTTCAGTAAGCCATGCCTGTCGTAAGAGGCGACTAACGGTATCGGGTGGTCAGGCTCGCTGGCTTGTTTAACACATGTTATCATGTCCCAGTTTCGCAGAACGATGCTCATGATGGTGATCACTGGATTGTCTGGTCCAGACTCGAGTTATTTCTGTGTTTGATTCCTCACATGGTTCTTACGTGGTTGCTCATTCCATGTATGTGCGTCGTGTTGTGGCCAGCATATTGATAAAAGCGTAACCTCACTCACTCACTCTACAGAACCTACGAAGCTCGATTCAAGTGTTACGAACGAGAGCTGAAGCGTCCCAACGGCTTCTGGGATACATGGTTGAGGTACACATTTGACCTTCAGAATGCTCTTGAAGGTCATCGAGAGATGTGCCCAAGAATTGAAGGTGGGTATAGTGTTGTAAATCTGGGAAGAACATCACTTGTAATTGTGTCTTATATACACATGAAAACCTCTGGGTGTTTAGATTTTATGTTTCCAAACACTATAAATCATGTAGCAAAGATGCTGGATCACTCTGTTTTCATTGTCTCTTTTATAGCATCATAAAATTGTAGGTGTTTTTTTCTTGATTTATCAAGTCAAAGTATTTAAACAGCAATTCCTCTTCAGCATCCGTTCAACTGTTCAGAATATGCTATTTCTGACTAGCAATGTGTTTGGTTACATCTAATGCTTCACAGACTCCAAACTATAATAGCCACTTCATGAATGCTAGCTAGGTGTAATGTGGTGAACGCAATTACCCGATTGATTCCGAATGACACCCAAACTCCGGTTACTGCCGATGATTAACCGCAATCTCTGAGCAATATAAACTGTTGGTCAAAAGAAGGCATACACTTGAAAAATGGACATCACCCAAAACTTAAAAACTTCATTACAACTCTTCATGGCTGAAGGACCCTTGAAGATCCGGGTTAGATCTGATGCCCATGCTTGTCGCAAGAGGCGACTAACGGGATCGGGTGGTCAGGCTCGCTGACATTGGTCATCGTGTCCCAAAAATGCGTATGCTCATGCTGGATCATAGGATCGTCTGGTACAGACTCGATTATTTACATTTACAGACCGCCGCCATATAGCTTGAATATTGCTGTGTGCGGCGTAAAACTAAACTCAGTCACTCACTCTTGGCTGAAGACAGGTACTTTGACACTGCAACGGTCAGGTACAAAACACAACCATGACACTCGTATCAAAAACCTAGTCATCGACCAGTTCTTGTTTTATTTAAGTCACCATCATACATGGAGGTATACTTTCTTTTGCCTATCAGTGTATTAGCGACAAGCTGTGCAGCAGTAAAGGCGCGGAGCGTGCTGATTGGTCAATATATTCAGCATCGGAAGTATGCATTACAGGGAACTTCTCAGCATTTAGATCTTGCTCGGACACTGTATATGCCTGTTTTACATGCTTCCCAAGTCTGACTTTATATTCAAACACTTTGTTCATACAGACATCATACAACAGGTGACCCCCGACTGTTTCAACGTGTCTGAACCGTTCATACGCAACTGTGAGAACATGTTTGCTACTTTAGCGAACGACATGAAGACCGATCCTACTGTTAATGACACTGATATTGGAGAAGGAGCGTGCAAGTGAGTTCTACCTTTGAATTCTCAAATGCAAACAATATTCGCCGAAGTATGAACATTCAAGACTAGAAATAGACAAACTATTGCATTAAATAAAGTCAGTGTACATTAGTTGAAGGTTAGGTTTTGGTTGTCTGTAAAATTAAATGTAAAGTTGAAAATAGTTTCAAATTAGAGTGCAAGAAGGGCAACTTCAAAAGTATGTTTTTGTTAAACCACTATAGTCTTAAAACTGTAATGGAGTGAGTGAGTGAGTTACGTTTTACGCCGCATTCAGCAATATTCCAGCTATAGGGCGGCGGTCTGTAAATAATCCAGCAATATCACGGCGGAGGACACCAGAAATGGGCTTCATCCGGGTTTGAATCCCCACATTGGAACAATGTGTAAAGCCTATTTCTGGTGTCCGTGATATTGCTGGAATATTGCTAAAAGCGGCGTAAAACCAAACTCACTCACTCACTGATTGGAATTGTTACATTAATGTGACGCGCAGTAACTGTTTATTAATCCTCGGCTAGTTTGGTAGAAAGCAATTTATTAAGATTCGTTTTTTTGCGTGCGTGAGTGAGTTTCATATCCATTAGTGCGAAACATCAGTGTAATGTACATGTAATATGCTTCTCTGTTACAGTGCGTCAATCGTGAAGGCTGACTGTTACAAGGAGGCGTTTCTCAAGTGCGACCCAGACCTTGCCGATATTATGATGCAGACCGTCCTTCGACCTCTGCCTGTGGAATGCCGGGATAGAGGAGTAACCGGAAGTGGAGTTACCTCCCTTAATGTTACCGACACCAAAGCAATCGATGTCAAAACTATAGACACGAAGACCATATCAGATGCTGTTGCAGTAGCCGCGGAGAAGTTCTTAGGAACCGATAGCCCCACAGATGGCGCCACTGTCAATAAAACTTCCAATGTTTCGTACGTGTTGTTCCTTATTCTCAAACTAATCAAACCATTGGTTGTCTTGTACGAGCATTATTTGGTTAAATGCTGGCATGCAACTAGAATGAATTAATTTAGATTCAGTAGCATAGTAGTTTCAATAGTCAGCAGATCAATCAGTAGCATATGATATAATACAAGACATATCGTATGGATTCTGGTGGAATAATTATGAAGAATCCAGCTTAAGAAGGGGCAAGAATTCGCCCAGAAACGTCGTGATAAGCAAATAAACAAGTTGTTATCCATAACTTCTAAATGCCTTTGAAGAATTTCAGCATATATATTATATATTATATAAACAAACGGGCAATAGAAACGATACTAAGTCGAAATCACTGATATTACAAAACGACAAACCACCATTGTGAAAAAGGAAAGTGAATTTTAATAACAGGTGTATGGGCAACATGCATGTTGGTATTGTTTCTCTTGCCCATTAGGTTATATATATACTCGTGAATTGCTTAGTGACAATTTCAGAACACAAAAAAAAAGACATTTCTGGACATTGTTGTAAGGATCACAAAATTTGGTACAATTTCTTTTCACATGAAAACTGTATCCTGGCAAGACTAACGGCAGTTACCTATGTTAAATACCGTGTCTAAGATCACTAGATCATTTCTGTAAGAACTCAGATGCCGTTGTTCTATAGAAAGCTATAGAAACTGTATTGACTGTCACGGAAAGTAGGTGTCCAAGGAGCAAGTGGGCCACTGTCCTTGGGGAAATAATTACACTGAGGAATCGAAGAAGTCCTATTTTAAACATAGAATTCGCAATAGAACATAATCGAAAAAATTTTTATGTTTCTACGAAAACTCTCTCATGGGTTCAGTGCACCGAAGTCTTTTATGGATCACAACGTTTTAACAGCCAGTATGGGGTCTTCAATAAAACATAACGACTATCATCCTTGAAGACTATTTGTAGCTTTGGATTTGGAGTCATCAAACAAGTGTACAGAAAATACTTTCATGACTGAAATATACTCAACAGAATAAGTTAGGGACCATTCCAATATTCAATATTTAAGTATTATATGGATAATAATATGAACTATTAAATAATTTAACTTTGACATTGACATTGGTCTTCAACTTCTTTGTTATGCATTAGTCAGTATGAAGTGTGCAATACATTTGATGATCTAACACACGCGAAAAACGACAGAAAAAGACAGATATGAGAAGCTTTCCAAAATGATATGTTACGGTTCATAAATTGCCGTGACAAAAGTCCCCTTTGAACCAGCAAAGTCTAAAATATTCAATAATATATTGAGCAAACAATGAGCAAACTACAATGAATGACAATACAGATATCCAGTCAATGCAATTGAGTCACAAATCTAAAATGTTGGGTAACAAATATAAAATGTTAACTCACCAGAGTCTTGACATTTACAGTGAGAACAGATATACTGATTGAAGGTAGTTTACAATGTCAACAGTTGACTATAGGCAAGCACGATCGCTCTTGAGATGATGGCAGACAGATGTGTATAACTCCAGTCATGTAATAAGTCCGTGTGTGTCACAACTCAACAACCAGCCTTTATATAGCTCTTACACAGTTCGCGAGCATTCTAGCAAAGCTAGGTTGTATCATTAGTCTTTCAGAACGTTATGGAATCATGTGGAACACGCGACATGACTGAACAAAATGAACAAGCCAAGGGAGGCAACTCTGAACCGTCATCAAAAAAGGCGTACCGTTATAAATAACATTGCCATTGAACATATATGATGCAAGATGCGAGCCACAAGCCACACTCAAAACCTTAAACATTGTGACCCATAATAACTATCACCTAATCAATGATAATACCAATTACAAAAAACACACTCTCATAACAGGTACACATCTTGAAGACATTTCCAAAGCTGATACATCAGTAACAAAAATGGTTTCTGCATTTTAACTTGTATTTAACACTTTTACACCATGGTTTTAACTTGCCTTGCAGGGTGTTTGTGAATACGCTCACCTTTACGCGAACACCTTGTGTCATCACCATTTGATCGCAATTCATTAAAACATGATCATGATATAGTGGGAATTGTACAACCGATGAGTTCTTATGAATATGAACACGGTTCTGTGGCTCTTATTATTAAGGGACGGTGGGGAAGCCTAGTGGTTAAAGCCTTTACTCGTCACGTCGAAGGCCCGGGTTCGATTCCCAACATGGGTACAATGTGTGAAGCCCATTTCTGGCCGCCGTGAAATTGCTTAAATATAGCTATATGCGTCGTAAAACCCAACTCACTCACTTTTATTATTAAGCCCAAACCGCCATGTGTCGTCACTGATTTTTCAGAGACAATTCATATTTTCACTGCTATTTGGCCTTTACCGCCTAATACATGTAGAATATGTTTTGTCAGGCGTTTTGGGTTGTTTTGTCTCTCTTTTTTGTGTGACTGAGGAGGACGCTGATAATTTTAAACTAAGTTATCCTTTTCTGATCTCTTTAACATTCTATCAATGACCAAAACAAAACCGTGTATTTACCAAGTATTGTCCTGAAATGGCTCTGGTTGACCTTTTCCTGTATTTATCTGAAATATCAGCGTTTAGTTCAAATAAAGGTCGCGATAGTTCACCCAAGAAAAGTATACTGCTCGAAACAAGTGGGAGAACACCTACACTAGGAGGGCTGAAGCAGTACCAGCCAGTACAATGCCAGCTTAATGCATTGTGATATGGAAATCGGGTTTCTTTGTCTTCGTTTGGGTAGTATATATCATCTAAAATTCATAGATTCACGTCTAGTTGTACACCTAGGCATTGGAACGCCCACACTATTGTGTGTCTAACCAGATGTAAGTGGAACTTCATAAAATCAATCCGTTTTACAGTCAGCAACTCCCAATGGTCCAATCAGTCCGTTCATGTCAAGCTAGATATTCCTTGGTGATGCCCAGTACGAAAAGATCCCAACCAACCATTAAGCTGCTAATATGATGAATATATTTATCAGGCCATAATCTTGGCATGATTTAAAAGTGTATTATAACTTAACAAGTCGGAGAGCGTGATATATTTACTAAATGACCCCATGAAAATTCACTCTCCAGTTGGGCCGCTGACTTGAGATTTACTGGCCCGACTGGATTTTTACTAGCCACGGGTTAGCGGCCAGTGGATATGTCGCAAACTGTTGGTGAGTCTCCCACAATATATACAATGCAGACAATTGATACACAGTAGTATACCTCAGAAAGAGGATACACCCCCAACCCCCACATCTCCACAAACCGATCCCACATCACTATACATTTTTCACATTGAACATTTTGATTAAAGAGCATAAAAGGAAATTGATATCAAAGATTATGTTTGTTTTAGCTAATCAAACTATATAAAGCCGAGAACCGTGTAAACGACCTGGCGGACTAAAACCGTTTAATCTATTAATGATTACTAATTATTGCTGTATCATGTGTACATACGGTGCATCAGTTGCCTATAAATCCATCAGACGTCTTTTCATGAAGCGTTAGGATGCTGGCTACAATGGTTGGCACTACACAGCAAACAGACATTAGAGTGAGCGTAATGTACAGCATTGTTGGTTTCAATAACAAAAATCATTTTATTACTATTCGTCAGAACACTGAACTATTGAGCTGTACATTCTCATAACATGGGTAAACTCCGTGATCCGGTTAAAATTTTCCTGTGGTTTCATCATCCTCGTTGCCCGTTCCCCCTTGGGTGTTCTGTCTACAGATATAGAAGGGAAGGTCGGCGGTTCGGCCCAGTGGCCGTATCATACCAAATGACGTTATGAAATGCTCTTGTTCCCAAGTCTGTTACAAAGACAAGAGGCTGGAGATCCGTGCACTGTGCTGTGCTGTGCTGTGCTGTGGGATTTTCACAATAAACGTGGGCATGATATTTATCTACAATGTAGTAGTGTTGCATAATGGAACAGCCTGTATAACTTCAACACTATGCCACTACGTAACTACGTCTATATACTGTATAAAAAGCAGATCCAGAGACAAAGTACAGAAAAATCCTTGAAAGCAAGTCTTAGCAATATTTCTCCTGGCCTCAAGTAAGGAAGTCTTGAAGATGGGGTAAAACACTGTTAGTTTAGATTTGTCCCAACGAGTAGCGAAATGAGGAAAAACCTTCCCAGCAGAGCGAGAGAAATAGGCTCTTTGCACGTTTTTCGTCAAATCAGAGGGACAGACACAGTGAAGTAAATATCGTATAAATTATTACAAATTGCAACTGCAATGGGTAACTTCGTCATCTTCGAAATTCCCTGCCTATCCTAATGACCCACACTTCTCAGCTGAGCTGCAAGAAAGACGTATCTCAAACCGCGACATTTCATTTCATGGCCATAACAAACCTTGGCCAGGCGCAAGTGTGGATTATGCAATTACGACTCTGTTGTGAATAACCATCATATAGTGGTGATTCCAGGTGTTCGCGAAAAGATGAACATATCCTGGTCTATCTGTGGAATGCGATAGCTTGTCAATTGTTCATCTGTATTTCACACAGCGTTTTCCCAGTCTTAGTTTTCTCAGCCATTGTCCGAATAATCCCAAAGACCAGGGCCTAGATTTTCGAAGCGCTCATAACTAAGACAGTTCATAAGAAGTTGTGTCAACAGTTAAGATAATCTTAGCGCGACCATAAGAGAGATTTTCGAAACGTTCGTAAGTTCGTCGTAAGGTCTAGATACGACAGCTGTCGTAAACCGTATCCAGGGAATCCCCGATGACGTCACGGAATTCCTCTATGTAAACAGCAGACGTCAACATGGACACCAAATGAACCGATACGCTGGATTGCACAATGCTGTGCATATCCGCCAGCTTAGACTGGAAACTGCCTTCGGCAAGAAAGCGGAGGGTACCATCACCTGTATTTCAGGTGAGAGGGGCACCGAACGCTTGGTCTCCCGAACCAAACCAGCCTCAACAAGAGATACTAAGTTAAAGATA